AAAAAAAAAAAAAACATATGGGGCAAACTGCATAAATAGTAACCACATGAACTCAACCAACAAGAATTGTGGTGAAGTGGTAGGTAATCCTTCATCCTTAACCAGAGGTCCAGGTGTACGGTGATACATTTGTTAGGGAGCGCTTAACCCCCTAATGTTAGGGAGCGCTTCCCAGCGCGAATTCGGATATAGTCGGACCCCAATGTGGGTACCGGACACCGGGTGAAAAACCAACAAAAAAAACCACATGAACTCACAATAAAGCATAACTTTTAAAACATAGTAGACGTTTCCTCCATATGCTAAAAGAGGATTTTACAGACAACAGAAATTCACCAACAGACGGGCACATACATAAGACATAAAATGCAATTACAAAGGGGAGAAAGGAAGATTACAGTATCAACCTACAACCTCCCCTCAATTTATTCCCAACAGACACTGAAGCATAAGTTGAAAGAAAAGACAATAATATTAATGCACCAGACTCTTGACAAAGTCTTAGTCTCCCCACCACTGATGAGCAAAAACACCACCTCCCCTTAGAGTTTTGAAAAGGCTAATGCAGTCTCCACAAAGAGCATTTTTGCAGTCCGCAGCTGAGCAGCGAAGGAATAGTTCATCGACATGGCAAATTGATCCAGTTCTGAATAGTTCTGAAAGAATATTCAGCTCCGCTGCTCTAGCATTCATCATGAGGACCACGTAATCTCCTTCTTTAACGGTTTCACTGAACCATGGAATAAAGTCAAATCCTTCATGATCTAGCGGTGCACTTAAATATTCATCGGAGTCAAGAAACGGGGAAATATCCTCTCCACCAAGTCCCGGATGGTACACAAAGTTAATACCGGGATTCTTTACATACAAAGGGAGGGCAGAGGTGTTATGATCAACGACGAAAACATTGAAAAAGTGGTGAGGGATTGGATAATGAGGCTTGAACATTCTTGCAATACTTGATTCTACAAATTCTCCAGCACCAATGTTGATATACACCAGTTTGTTCCTTGACGAGATATTCATGTACTTAGGCAAGTACGAAATTTCTGTCTCAAACTGTCCGGACCTTTTCTCCACGAGTGGCTCAAGGTATTTCAAGAACGGCTTGTTATTCGTGGTGGACGGACAATTAGCAGGTAGTACAGCACGCTCGAGAGATTCAACAATCTCAGATCTTTTCTTGAACATCACTAGAGTAAAGCCGCCAACCCCACATACGTGCACAACATCGGAACTCTTCAAGAATGAGGAAACTGGTGTAGCAGACCTAATCAAGTTGCCTTTTATCAAGTTCCCTGCGTAGAAACTACTAGAACTCACGAGCATAGCACCGGTGCCACCTGGACGTAAGACACGCTCAATCTCAAGCACCAAAAGAGCTGGAACAGAGACCCTATCAAGATCTCTTGAGAATACAAAGTCGAAAGCATTATCCTCATAATCGAGCTCGTACACAAATCTTCTCCACAAAAGAGAGAAATATGGGTGCCTATCAACACCAATAGCATTCGAGAGTCCCAGCTCTCGCAGCGCCAAAGCTGCAGCCGATGATTTCTTCCCAACACACAATGCTTTGGCATTCAAATCCAAGAAATTCTTTTCCATTAGCTCCTTAAACACATTCTTGCTCAAATTTTCATCTTCACATTTTACCAAAGACGCCCCAAAAAGCGGAAAAGCCAATCCAGAAACGGGTTTAAAGAACCCGGTCACATTCATATTCGGATTGGATCCAAAGTTCAAGGGGCATACACCAAAATTCAACACCATAGGCTCAGAGTTCCGGATCAAATGCCCCATTTGAACGAACGAGACAACGATCATAACAGTGACAAACAAGAACCCTTTTACAATCAAGCGTTTCACTAATGACCCGTGAAGAATTTGCCATTTCAAGACGTTCATATCCATTTTTCAGTTCAAATTATCACTTTAAAGATCAAAACTTTAAGGACTCCCCAAGTTTCAAGATCAATAACAGAAACTGAACCTTTCACAGTAGCTAAAAAGCTCTATTTTTTTCAATCAGATTGATTTAAAAGAGAAGATTTAAGCCAAATAAACAAGAAAATCAAACAGATTAGCGAGTACAAAACCTGGAGGAAGTGTGATTTCCACCCACCAGTAATACTATTGACATTTGGCACCCAAGCAAGACCCTTTTCGGAACCCTTTTACCCATTGGTTTGAACCAACTTTGACCCATTTCAGAACCCCAATTCATCACCCAAAATTGAGCTCAACCCACTTCACATTTTGATACAAAGATTGAATTTTTATGTGCTAAATTTGTCCAAGAACTGAAAAGAGGATTATGGTTGTAAAAAAAAGGGAAGTTTTTTGGATCTGGGAATGTGCTAAGAGTGGAGTGGAAAGTGTGAATGGGAAAGGAAGAAACTAAGGAAGGTGTTATTAAGGAAGAAGCTCAAGCTCAGTTGTACGAGAGTTTAGCTCTTTGTCGGTTATCCACTACGTGTCGAATGAAGAACGATTGATAGCACGTGGGTGGGTCCCAGCTAAGCTAGTATTGAAGTAGTTGACTCAGTTAGATTTAGGTTTGATTGAGTCGAGAACTCGAGGTATGAAATTCTTTTTTATTTTTTAAAGAAAAACATATAGGATAAGAGCAAAAATTACCCGGTGGAAAATCTATTACTCTAAGTATAGGTAAAAAATTGAGATCGCCAATTGTTTGACAAAAAATATAACTCTTGATTCAAATAATTAAATTTATGTGATTATGGATTAAACTTAGTTAATAATAATATTTTTAAATATAGCTTTCGAGAGTGTGATACACGTCAGATAGATCTGGTTGAATGATGATAACAATATGCAATAACTATTCCAAAAAGTAGGAGTAATAATGTAGCATTTAATAGCAATGAATAACAATAAATGACATTTAAGTAAATAGGAGTAATGATTCACCCAATAAAGGATAAACTAGATGGTTGTTTCTCTTAACAAAGATGAGTGACAGACAAATCCTTGAATGTTCGAATTATTCTAGAATCTAATGGAAAAGTATGGAATAATATCGACCATAATCTTAGTGAAAGGTGATGCTTGTATCTCAGTAAGAGAGAGAATCTTTTTGTCAAAGTGTGTTTTTACAAAAAAAATATCACATGCCTCATATCATTGTCTTTTTTTCTATTTATATGAGACATATTCCTATTAAACCCTAATAGTACAAGTGCAGAGAATATCCACTAAAATATTCTCTTTAATATCCTATTTCAAAAACTAGCCGTTACAGTTTCATCAACGGTGCTCGACCTCGACCATCATTGACATCTCGACCAAGGCTCTTGTCGACTCTTCGGCTATGAGTCTTGCTGTTTCTAGATCCACCTCGACTAACGACTGCTCGAGAATTCTTTCTTTAGTGTTATCTTATCTTAAATATTCTAGGACAGATTTTGGCCCATACAGTTAGTCCCTCCGCTTATTGAGGTCGGCCTCTCGCGGGCTTGATGAGCGAATTCTGTTCATTGCGGTCGAAACGATTGGACGAGCTGATCGGGTTGTGAGGATTGAGGCGAGCTGACAATGTGGCCCTTCGTGAGCCACAAATTTTGGAGTTGTGCTATCCGTGAATCAAGGTGACGTCATGACCTTGTGCGTCATCATGACGCGTATTCCCGATGCGTCGCTTCGTTTTGTGTAGGACTCCTGATTGGTCCTGCCGCTTTGATTCCGATGCCAGGCAATGATGAGCCAATTTGTCGACTCTGACGCCTGAATTCCTATAAATAGGGATGTTAGGTGTAATCCTAAACTTTGCCGACTTCCTCCATCGAACCCTATATCTTCTTCTTCCTTTTCCATTGTTGTGCATTTTTTCCCTTTGTTCCAGCGATTCTTATCGTTTTTAATCCTCCGTTGTTTGATACCTTCCTCTCTTTCGTTGAAAACATATGTAATGTACCTTATGAGTCCAGTAAGGGAAGTGACCCAGTCTCTCTTTCGATTCTTCTTCTTCCCCATGCGGAGAACGTTCCCACTGCTGTTGAGGACGGAAGCTTCCCAATGGTGGAAGAGATAGTTCCTCGTAACCTCGATGTCAGGTCTGATTTTTCAAAATTGCCTGAATCCGAACCTGGAACCTTTAAGTCGGCGATGAAGGAGGCTGATTTGTTAGAGCTTAAGGCTAAATATGGCCTTCCCGATCATGTCGAGTTGATCCCTGCCGGGTGAGATGCGGTGCAGTACCACCGTCCTGGGTATTGCGCATTCTACGCCTACACATTTCATATCGGCTACACTCATATGGATGCTTACCAAGTTCGCGGAGTTAGTCGGGGTCAAGATCATACTTCGACGCTTGATGCACCTGTTCCCCCCAGCTTCTATAGGGGGCGATGCTGAACCTTCGCCACCGATGAGGCAAGTGCCTGGTGGTGAAGATGGATGACAAGGCTAACCGCCAGTTCTGGATCAACTTTTTCTTCGTTAGAACTGAGGACGTGGTGGCCAACGTCGACAGCTTCCCTGAAGTTTAGAATTGCACTAGTAAGTGCCTAACTCCCTTGCATATAGGCACTTGGTTTATTTTGCTTAGTTGTGGATTCCGACCTCTTGTTCTTTTCTTGTGCAGCCAAGACCTCGCCTCCTCATTTGGTCGAGGGCATTTCTAGTTGGGTCGGTCGGCTTCTCCCTCACATTGCAGGGATTCGTGAGTGGTCAGGCTTCTTCAAGAGGTTTGGGTCGGCTCCCCCCTCGACTGGTAAGTTATTCTCGCCTTGGCCTCTCAGTTATTTCTCTTTTATGGTCTACTTTAGTTGACTTTTTTTCCATTTGTACTCCCCTTAATTTCAGCTAGGGGTCCTCGAGGAGGTCGAGAGCTCTCGCACCTGCATTCCGTAAAAGGAAAGCTACTACCTCTTCGGCTCCAGCCCCTTATATGACCGCGACTGCTTCTGCTCACTCTACGGTCCCCGCCTGTTGCTGCTTCAGTATGAGTTCTTTCTTTAGCTGTGGAGACTTTGGCCGTGGAGCCTTCGGCCTCTCCTTTATACCGTCTCATAGATGAAGAAGAGGAGTTGTTTCCAGGTGATGGGGACTTGATGCCGCGTTAGATCGGTGGACGTCGACGACGGGGTTGCCTAGGCCGTCGGCTCAGTGGCGGGTAATTTTACACTGCGTGAGATGGCGACTATTGTCATTGAAGACAATTTCAGGACGGCGTCTGGGATTCTGAGGTCGGTGAAGGCCGATGAGGGTGTGTCTCTTCCTTCTGTGATGACAGAGGCCGAAGGGCTGGCCACTAGGGCTTCTGACACATCGCGGCAAGAGGAGCAGTCGACTTCGCAGCCAGCTAGTGATACTTCTTTGCCGGCCGATGGGAGAGGCAAAGGCGTTGCCGAAGAAGGCTATGAGACAGGATCAGACGTTGATGCTAGTGACCTTAAGATGATGGAGGAAGGGTTTACCCAGCTCGAGGTAAGGTTGGAGTGGTCTACGAGGACCATTATGATCCCCATGGATCGTGATTTGTTGAAGAATACGGAGAACGTAGTCACTACCCTCGGCCATCTTTGCTCCGAAATAGAGGGTGAACCCTAAAAGAGTTGGGCGATGTCACCTTATCGAGGAGTATAATCGCCCTTGCTCTCAGGGTGAGTATTTTAGGGCTTCATCCTTCTATCTGTGTTCTTTTATGTTTAGTGTTTTGCCCATGTTAGCAGAGGCGTTTTCATTTTTGCTTTCCTTCTTTTTTTTTTGTGACTCAAGACCATGATTTTGGAGATTGAAAGTGCCCGAAGGGAGGAGAAGCCTGAGGCAGCGCGGTCAGAGGCTCTGAATAAGGCGGAGTCCCTTGAGGTGGTGATTCGATCTCTCCGTTCTGAACGTGAAAATGACCTAGCGATGGCAAGGCTCAAGGAAGAACGTCTTGATGAAAGGATCTGAGAGCTGGAAAAAGAGGCCTTTGTTCTCCATGATCGAGTAGTTGCCTTGGAGGCCGAGAAGGCCCACTTACTAGCATAGTCATCCTCTTCCCGTACTTCGGACTTTTCCAACGTTCCTCGGGACTTATATGAGGAGTGGATTCATGCGAGGCCCAGTTAGATATCTTTCGAGATCTGCATACAGCGGAGTCCGTTTTTGATAAAGCCCTTGACGACGATCCTGTGAAGGCCCGCGAAGCCCACTTGCTTGTACGTATGATCCTGCTAGACATAAGGCCGGCAACGGCGATGATGAAGGTGTGTATCGACTTGAGGAGGCTGAATAGTACGATACAACATATTTGGAGGGCGAAGGCGACGGTGGCGAGGGGGACCAAAGTGGAAAGGGCACTGGTGGCCAAGGTGGTGAGGGAGTAGAGGATTGCGATGGTGGTGCTTAGTAGTCTTTTCTTCATCTCTTTTTTGTAAAATTTCATGTATTTTTGGTGGCGTCTTCATGAGCCTTTGTAATAAAAAATATTTTAAGTATGAAATGCCAAATTTGCTCCCTGCACCTCCTTCTTTTCCTATAGTTTGTTTTCTATTCTTATATGTTTTTTGCTTTCGTTTCTTGTGCGTCGGAACATGGTCGTTCATCGTCGACTTGTTTGGTTATGATCTTTCGTTAGATTACGGTCGGGGGCTGATAGGTGCTTATTCGAACGAGGTCGATCAAAAATTTTTGTTTAATGTTGTGGCCTAGGGCGTCAGTTATTAGTTCGAGCGAGGTTGAACGCGACCTGAACTTAGTTATGGCTGAGGGCCAATAGGTGTTAGTTCGAACAAGGTCGAACATAACCTATATTTAATTATGGTCGAGGGCCGATAGGTGTTTGTTCGAACAAGGTCGAATATAACCTAAATTTAATTATGGCCGAGGGCCGGCATGTGTTAGTTCGAACAAGGTCGATCATAACCTGTATTTAATTATGGCCTAGGGTAGACAAGTGTTAGTTTGAACAAGTCTAACATAACCTATTATTAATTATGCCCGAGGGATGACATGTGTTAGTTTGAACAAGGTCGAGCGTAACCTGTATTTAATTATGGCCGAGGGCCGGCATGTGTTAGTTTGAACAAGGTCGAACATAACCTGAATTTAATTATGGTCGAGGGCCGTCAGGTGTTAGTTCGAACAAGGTCGAATATAATATGTATTTAATTATGTCCTAGGGCCGATAGGTGTTAGTTCGAACAAGGTCAAACATAACCTATATTTAATTATAGTCGATGGCCGACAAGCATTGGTTCGAAGAAGGTCAAGAGTAACCTTTATTTAATTATGGCTGAGGGCTGGC